TAATAAATAACTATATATTAAATATTTGTGATTTATAATTAATATTATTTACGATTTATTAACCATTAGTATCTAATATATTTGCAGTCACATTCTCTAATAAGCATACATCTACTCAAATAGTTTAAAACGAGGAGAGAAAGAAACTGAATTACTTTATTTGAGAGAATAGAAGTTTGATCCAATTTTTCCTTGCTTCTTTCTCCCCACATATACATATACACATACACATGCACATACATATACATATACGCAGACAAAATAGCTCTGTATGGAAGAAATATGCACATATATGATAAAAATCCATGCATGTACATATATTTATGCAGTAATGCACTAGAAACAGATTTTCAGATTACTGTAGCTCAAAGATTGTTAATGGAGCTACTACAGTTTATAGAAGATTTAAAAGCAGTAAAGGAATAAAGCAAGAAATGACAGGATAAGCAAAGGAAAAAAGAACTTGCCACAGACTGAATGAGAAAAAGGTACTATGCAAACTTCATTCTTGTTCGCAAAAATCATGGGGCTCCACAGCTTCGCCAAGTATGTAAACGTAAAATAACCTACGAAAAGCTCACGAAAGCACCTCAACGCATTACTCTTACATTGCTGTATGAAGAAGGCCAGTGGATCTCATTGTAAGGGCTGATATGAGTATGCTGTGTCTGCAGCGCATAAGGGAAGGAAGTCACGTGTAGGGTCACAATATTTGGCGCCTCTTTCACCTCTCTGCAGTTCAACAGTCTATCAACAAGTCCTGTAGGCAGCTCTGTTTGAGGATAAAGGCTGTGCATAGCACTGCAAAAAAGAAACTCAAAACTCTCCAAAGTGATCAGCACAAGGGAACATTCAAGTCAGTGGAACAACTTTAACCTAGATGTGAAATTGAAGTTAAACACATATAAGGAACTTAGGACTCTATTCTTTGCCCTGCTTTTGTCACACAGAAGGATGGGAAAAGAAATGCAAATTATTTCACTGCAGCTGAAAATTTCTGTAAGCCTGATAAGCTTTCTAGCTAACAAATTACCAGTCCCTTACAGCTACCAGAATATGAGAAAGGATAAAAGGAAGCTGATGTTTTGGCAGTTACCAACAGACACATAGTCCTGTAGTAACTTTGGCCAGATTATTAGTGCTGCTTTTAAGAAAACACAATTCTTGCTTACAAAAATCAAGATAGAAAATGACAGACAGTAAATCATTATGACAGAAAAATAGAGGGAAACTACCTGTGATAGAGCTGTTATGAAAGGGGATAATAGTTATTGTTAGGGCAAATTCCAGTATCATGGAACGCCTACAGTCAATTTCTTGCTCCAGTGTAAAACTTCAGTCCAAACTCATGTTATTTAATTTTTGGCATTCACCTGCAGTGACCAACATACAAGCCTAGTCACTGCAAGCTCCTTCTGTTACCAGCAGAGAGATAAGTAACTCCAGAAATTGTTTGTGTACATCCATGTTCTAACTCAGAACCAGGGCTCTGTTGGGGAAGCAATGAGTTACACAAGTGAGGTGATGAGGAAATTGGAAAACATCAGATAGAAACATCCCTGCTTCCCTGAGAAGTCTACCTGACATTACCATGTATCCACAGCAGCTTTCAATCCTTAGAAATCAGTAATTATGGATAAAAAATACACTGTAGTAGAAAATTTCCAATCAGTTAAAAAAATAAGCAGCACAGTTGGCTCACTAGTTGTCTACTCACTGTGGAGGGTTTTTGCATGTTTTACAGCCCAGATGACACTGACACAGGATAACGAGCTCTGTGTACTTTCACAAGAAGCTTTCCTTTGAACAAATGACAATCAGCCAAAAAAACAATAGCTGTGGCTGAAAGAAGATAAGAATGGTGAGCAAGGAAAGCTGAAATGTTCCACTGAGGCATAATACATAAAGCAGGATAAGAATAAGTCATGATGGACCTTAAAAGAAAACATGTTTATTAAATGCATGGGAAGAGAGAGTAGAAAGATGCAAAGAAAGATGAAGGAAGGGACAAATCAGAAAGCTGATCTTGATAGCTAATGCAAACAATAATAATTTGTCTAAAATCCAGTTACAGTTTTCTTACCTCATTAGATCCCAGTGTGCGTGATCATGGATTAGGACAAACAGTGTATGTGGATTCTGCATAGAGTTTTGTAAAAAGACTTTGAATTTAATCTGGGCTTCTGCATCTAGTTTCATAACATACTGTTCCACTCTCTGTTTTGTAAGATGTTCCTTTTCTAATCCAAGTTCTAATAAAATACCTAAAGAAATGGATCAAATGTCGGTATTAACAGATACAAATCCATAAACCAATTTCCTGTACATCTAATATAAAGTTAACTAATGAGCACCTGAGTGGCAGAGATGAAACAAAGTCTGCTGGTAAGTCACTTCAGAGGGTGGAACACAAATCAAGAAATCAATTTTCTCGAAGGAACCCAAATCAAGATTTTGAGTACTGGAGTCAGCGATTGAGCAAATATGAGACAGCAATTTCTGAGCCACTGCTAGCTGGAATGGACGAATCTGATGTCGTTCAATCTCATAACCTGGAAAAAGGCAAAATTCTGTTTAGATATGTGCCCAAAGTCTATACTAATGCAAAATGTTAGAGTCTGGCAAAAAACGATTGATCTACTCTTTAAGGTACTTTGCTTATGAACAGAAGTTCTAATTTAAAAAAATCTGTATGGAACATGCAAAGAAATCATTCTGCATTTGAGCTTTTTTGGTCCTGTAAATGGTCTTTTAAATATCTGAGAGCTGAAGCTAAATTTGTGCAATAGCATTGTGCTACCATAGAAGTAAGACTTAGAGCTTCAGAGAGTGCAATACCCAGAGGAATGAAGCAGACAATCCATCAGTGTAAATCTGAATATCCCAAGACGTGAGGTTTTGCCTCCTGTTTGCCTCAGGACCTTTGTCTTCAACAGTCTAGGACTTTGCCCAGATGGATCTAACTGCACACCCCGAGACCTGGTCTCAAGACCTGTACTCTGTTATCTCTTTAGAAAATACTCCTTACTTACTTGTACACGTAGCTGCTCCAGTTCCATTTAGTGCTGTTGGTTTATTCACTGAAGCAGAAAGTGATGAAGAGATGTGCCCTTGGTTTTCCTGGTAAAATTTCTCCAGCAAAACATCAATGTCACCTTCTATCAAATTGAAGGGATAGTGGAATAAACATCCATGTTAATAAGAGCTGCATTTCATACTTATTTTGTTTTATAGATCTTAAAGAGCTTTATACGTGTCATTATCTAGTCATCCTGCCCTTGGTTTATTGGCTGTTTTATACAGAAACCCTCTCGTAATTTTCAATTGCATCTGTTTTTATAGCATATCACTAATAAAATGCAAATCAGGCCAGGGAATGCAGACCACTGGCATTTACAGACAATAGTGGAAAACTAGCCTCAAGGCCTTGATGCAAATCAGCAACAACAAAGACATGAAACTGGCTTAGTTTATGTTCAGACCACAAAGCTATACTATTCACTAATAAGGATTACAAAAAGCTTTGGAAAATGTGATAAATATTTTTGAATCTTTAACATTTTTGAGAGACGGAAACAAAAATAATTCCCTATAAAGCTGAAAGAGAAATATGTGTTTTGTAGCTACACGCAATGCTGAAGCGAACAAGGTAAGTTTCACTGAACTATGCATATCTGCAAATATATCCTATTCTATTTGTCAGAGGCCCTGTTTACAGATTAAAGTTATGCAGAGAGTACATAATGCCTGTCCAGAGCATTCAGTATTTTCTTAGCAGCTGAAATGATGTTTGAACATGTCTGCACTGAGCTCAGAAAGGCAGGGTCTGCCCCATGAAGTACATTCCAGTGGATGTAGATGACAACTTTTTTTAGGATACTCGTTAACTTGTTCTGCTCAAACAATAGTGATAGCAAAAGTGACTTTGAGAACCATACTTTGAAGACACTAAGAGTAGAAACACTAACATAACTACACAATGGTTCAAGGAAAATGAGTTTCTCTTAAGTGACCACTCAAAATACCATGACACATCCCAAAGGGTTCTTGTGACCTAAGTGCAGATTTACGTGACATGAATGGCCAAGGGGAATGTGGTATCCCATTAACACTGACAAATCTGCTGTATTTGCTCTAGTGGTGATGTGGTTTAACTTTCCAAGTGGCTGGATCTATATGCAGATAATCCTGCTTGTAGTAATCATCAGTATATTCAGTTAAAAAACAATCCAGTAACCTTGGCTCTGCAATTTTCCTCTCTTCCCCATTCATCATGATCCTGTTCATAGCATGGTAAGTCAAAAGGACAAATCCTTCCTTTGGTAAAATAACTCTGTTCTATCATGGTCCAAACCAATTCTGTGCTTAGGACAAAATAATTTATACATTCATATGGATATGGACTTGCATAGTGTATGGATGGATTTGCATAGTTAAGAGTAATATGCTCAGCTATTTCCTTGCATATTTTTATGAAACTGAGGGATTTTAGAAACTGACACTTTTAGGAGGAAATCCAATTGAAATGTAGTTTCACAACTTTGTCCTGCATTTTTTAATATATTTATATATATAATAATGTCTTGCTTTTCGAAAGGTAATGAGCGTAGTTATCTTCTTTGACCTAAAACTTTCAGAAAAAAAGCCTCTTTATAACCTGTTAGGTACCTGGGCAGAGTGTGCTGAAGAAGGACCCCAGAGTTTCCACTTTCCCTGTGACCAGCTGATAGTTAACTTCTTTTTGGTAGTCCAAAGGAGTGAGCATGCTCTCAGACAGAACTCTTGCTTGATACTTTCCTAAAAGACAAAAAAGAAATTTTGAAAGCACTTCAAACTGAAGTAAAAATGTTCTAAGTCATAACGAAAGTGCTACCCAGCTAAATAAATATCACACACACAAAAAGGCAGAAGATGAGTCTTTTCTCTCTCCTCTACATGTGTGCACCAGACATCTGTAAGATAGATTCATGTTTTATAATTCTTAGTGTTTCTTTCCCTTTTTAGAAAATATTTGTTGATGTGGCATATAAAAAGAGCATATAAATAGTCAAAGGAATTGTCAATTGTATTACACTCAATGAATCTTTGAACAGCTATTCAAATAATTTATTTAATTATTAGCATAGTGCTCAACAGGTTGTTGAAGGGAATGACATTGAAATACCATCTTTTAGAAGCTAACAAAATGCTCGGTCCTCTGCTTGCAGTAATATCCCAGTTGCACAGGGCAGGACAGCTTTATGCACTGTGTGCACTGTAACTCGTTATTATTTGTTTGCAGTGGTCTTGGCTGGGGAGCCTTGGCAAGAAAACAGATAATGCAGGCAGAATGTGATTTGCCGTGCAGCATCAGCTTGGGTTCATCAAAAACCATGGTCAAAGCCCTGCTTTCTGACTCAGCTTACTGAAACCCAACCCAAAATCTTCACAGCATTGAATTACTCTGTTTTGCCTGGAGATACGCACTTGGGATCTCACCTGTTATCACAATGCAGGAGTCAATGGCTCGATTTCTACTGGCACATATGATCACCACGTAGTTTGTCTTTGTTAATTTGCCTTCAATAAGCAGCTTAAACATTTCTGACAGCCCTTCAGCCAGAGAGTAGCTGCACTCAATGATATGGACACTATCGTTACAGGAGCTAGCTGCAAGGCCCGCCAGCCAGGGGAGCTGGGCTGAGGTCACTGGTGTGATCTGGCTGGACACTTGAGGAAAGGTCTGTGGAACAGCTTGTTGGTACTGACGGATTTCAGACAGGTGTGATTCCCGCCATGAACGCATGAATATTTGTTCCAAATCCTCAATCAAAGGGACTTGGTCCGAGGCTTAAAAAAATTAAGAGGAAGTATTATGAAACAATTTTTTAAAATGTTAAAAACGTTTTTTTTCAATACATTTTTAGAGATGATAGCGTTTCAGATTTATGCATGCATGACTCTATTGCCTTTAGCAGATGTGGATGAAATTTTTCATTCTGAAGTGCCTTAGTGATATTCAAGCTGCCCTAATTGGAACCTGCGTATCAGTAATTAGAAATTTAAGAGGTTGAGTGCTGTCTGTCTCAGCATGATACAACTTCTAAACCACATACTGTATGCAAAGGCAGTGAATTACAGCTCTTCATTTTTTATTTTCAGTCGCTGAGGTCCCAGATTATAGGAGAAGATGAACTTTGATTACATTTCAATATGTCTGGTCTTCAAGAACTAATTATTTAAGTTCTCTTCATTACCACAAATGAAATTGTTTAACATCACATGTCCTAAGACAGATATTTAATAATGTCCTGCCCTAATATTCCCTTTCTCATTTGCCGGCATGCAATATACTCACTGCAGTCTGTCTGGATGTAAAATAATCTTACCTAGCTGCACAAGGTAGTAGACAGTCAGTAAGAGCTGCATTTCCTCTGAAATAGGCTGTATTGTGGAGGCACCATATTGTTCATAAGCTCTAGATAAAGACTGTGAATTTCTGTAACAAGTATACAGCAAAGGACTCACTATCACATCATTAATGTTACCACAAAGATATGGGAAGTTTCCATGACCTACAAAATAAACAATGTTTGTACACATAACATTAACATCATAATTTCCCATGAATGCATTAAACACTTTTAATAGTAAACCTTTTAAAATTGACAGCTTTAGCAGTGTTTAGCAGTAAGACATATCTTTACATCTCTTACAGGAAAGATTTAAGGTCTTGTTGAGGGGTTGGTGTTTTTACCTTTAAAAATAACAGGCTTTGCTTTACAGATTTTCAGCAAGTTTTCAGGAACTGAGACTGGTTCTCCTGAGCCCATTATAGGAGAGGAGGCTGGTGCCACCAAAGCAGAATGTGGTAAAGATGACAGGCTTCCTCCATCTAAGATTTTAGAAATATTATTACTGGAGTTAAGTCTAATAATGATTTCCTCAAAGAAAAGTTATTCAGCATCATCTCATATCCACATTTGGTATCAGTGTTAAATGCTTTTTATGGTTACAACACACATTTCATGAGCTGTTACTACAACTATTACATTATCCTAACTTTCTTGGATGACTACTTATATTGTTGCGACCTTGAACATCACACATGCTTCTAAAGATTTTTAAATGTTTATAAGCAAACAGTTCCAAGTATGAATGCAAGAATACAGAGACCTATTTGATATCAATGCACCAATAGTTATGATTTGTGTGTCCTGTACGATATATTTATTTTCACTGATTCTAAATAGGTTTTCTTGCTATAAGAAGACAGAAAAAAATAGGATTTGATGTTTGCTCAATTGTAACTTCTTTACGGTAATTTTAACTTAAACAATTGCACATCAAAAGAAAACATTTTGGAAAAGTGGATTTATTTCACTGTATGTCACTGTAGTCTGTATGTGAACTATAAAATCCAAGTGCCAAGAACACTGTGACAAATACTTGAAACAATGGATGGCATCTTGACCTGAGTTATGACACTAATTTTAATATCCCAAAGGTGTTTTGGTGTCTAAAGATGGACATAGGCACTTTCTAGGATTTATTAATAATGACTTGATGACTGGATTCCAATGAGAGTTAATCTCAGAGCCTCAAAAAGAAATCAATGGAAATGAAGCACCTCAATATAGGTGTATATATAGGTATCAAACACCTTTCAACACTCTAAAGTGAATCTGCATGCATCTTTAAAATATTGCCTCTTTTCCCCCATTATTTTCTGAAGACTGAAACAAACATTATCATTACCTTGGGTATAACTTACCATTTTTAATTTTGTTTGGAGCCTGTGGGTTGAGCTGCAGGTTCCAAGTTTCAGTTGACGATGGAGATTCTGGTGACCAACCTTTATGGCGCTTTTTTGGAGGCCCTGAATTTGTTAAAGTGCCTGAATAACAGTAATATTTCATATAGGTATTAGAATAAAAGGTATTTGGTTTTGTGCATGGTAATACATTTTGATAGACTGAATGTGCACATTAAGTACTGTGGTAGACAGGGTCAACTCCATGAATATAATAATTTTTTATTATTTTTATTTTACTTTGCTATGTCCTGCTTAAATTTCTAGGAACTTTCTGGTGTAGAGAACTCTTAATTCTCTAGGCAGACTTCACTTATTTTATACCAGTGTTTACTCTGTACTAAGAATAACATAATGAGACAAGTATCTAGAGTGTTTATTTTGAATTCAACAGTGTGGGCATTTTGCTTCTTTTATTTCTGAGCACATGACACTGTTTCATAAAACTTATTGCAAAATAAAATTCTCAAGGGTTTCAGGCTGATATTAATAAAGATCTGAGCTCTTTTAAAAAAATTTCCCATTTACAGGATTTTTGACACTTCTGGCTGGTTACCATCCTTGATTTTATGTCATACCATATTAGCTCCGAGCAAATTACATCTGCCCTCTCATCCTATCCACATGTAGCTCCAACAACTTTCTCTGTAAAAATATAACTTTTTCACAGTATTTCTCGCAGGTCCCGATGACTAATCAAATTTCTTTCATTAATTTCTTGAATCTTCTTCTGCACTCCTGCAAACTCCTAGAATGATGACCTTCCACTAATACCACGTATTTCTAATTATTGAGAGTCAACAGTCCTCCAGGAATTGCTCAACATCTTGCAGGATTGAGCTATTTCTGTTTCTGGACATGACTATGCAGGGTTTGCAACACTACTTCACACTGGCAGGGCTGTATCTCCTGTCAGAATGGTCAGTCCCACATAAAATTCAAGACCGATCAATAATCTCATATTAAAAAGGGGGTTTAAATTTTCCAAACTATATTCAAATTCAAAGTAAACCTGAAGTCTTCAGATCTAGAATAAGATTGTAACTTGCAGAAGAACCTTACGGACCGGTTTTCAAAGATTACTTTGTCTTCTAGACTTTTACCAGGTGAGGGCGGTATTTAGCCACGTGTGCTGCTCAGTCTTTCCTTCAGTTTCCTGGCATAACGTTGTGACAAAAGTCACAAGACAGAGCAATATAAAGATTTTTTAACTTGAAAATGACATACTCTTTCCTACAGAAATGTTGATATGTGAAAGTAATCCATCTGAAATGAATGTTGCTTCATGAAAGAAAGAGATCAAGAATCTGAATGGACAGAGAAAAAAAAATTGGCTGTGATGCCAGCAGGGAACTTGGGATGACTTTTTCTAAAATAGAGGTATATAATGTTTCTAGCTATAGTGAAGACTAATTTTCTTGCTTAAACAAGTCAGTGACACAGAATACAGTTTGTGACAGAAAACAACTATCACAAATCATTATAATAATAACAGAATCATAGAATCATAGATAGTGCAGTTTAGTGCACAGTTTCTTTAATCTTGAGTCTGTTGTCAACATCTAGTGCTCCATCCCAAGGCGAACTGCAACATAGGAATTATCCTAGGAGTGATTACTTATAAATCTTTCTTAATTTCCTTCACAACACCTGTTGATGACATTGATGGAAAATGACACATCTTTAAGAAGCTGGATTCAGAATCTAGTCTGTACTTCTATTAAATGAATTCTAAATATAACAAAAAAACTTCCAGTTAATAATCTGAATAGTAACAAAGCTATGGCTGAAAATATATAAACATTTTTTCCTCTGAAAATTAACATAGGAAAAAAGTGTTATGATCAGAAAGGACTTGGAAGGGAATAGTAATTTTTGTTCAAATAGGAAACTACAAACATGATATCATTCCTTTAATGCTTCTATTATGCCCATGGAATATAGAGTTTAGAGTTATTAAGCAACAAATCCATACAAATACCTAACACTGAAGGTCTCGTCAGAGCAGACAGGTTATTTTTCACCAACTGTTGTTTAGGCAATTCCTTGCCATTATAAACTGCTGAGCTGTATGCTGCTGTTGGGATGTGATCTATGGCTGCAGCTGGTAAGAAAAAAAAGTATTTACATTAAACATTTTTAGGTCAATATCCTCAGTTGATATAATAAACTGATCACTTGATCATTTACTTTAATAGAGCCATTGGGATCTGCTCAGAGTGAATACAGTGATGAATAAAACAAACTCATTTCTGACCAGATTATTACTGTCTGACTGAATTAAGTACCTGGGTAAAATCTAATTCTGTAATTAAATATGTATGTCAGATCCTTTAGCTTCTTTGTAGGTGGACCCTAGCTCTTAGGTGAACTTTACTCAAGAACCAACTAAAAAAGTGAGAGATGTTGTCTGTAATTTATTAAAACTCTCCTAAGCCTCCATTCCAATTTGACATCCTCTTTCCAAGCTTCTTTTTAAACTATGCTGCATTAAAAAGAAAGGTTTGCTCAAGCCTAGCATGCTTGTAATCAATATAGGTTTTTAATATATGTAACCTGTGACCAAAAAAAATACCTATCTGCTATTATAAAGAGATTAATGATTTGTTCTGGAGGGTTACCAGTATTCCAGACCACAACCATTTAACAGACCTCTACGCCACAGAAAGAATATAGCCACCAACAGATGTGTCTCAGGTCTCCTGTGTGAATCTTCGTAACAGTCACAAGACACTAAAGAGCTGTTTTCATTATGAAGAAGTCCAGAGAGATCACTCTAGCTTCTATCATCCATCACCTTTCATCTATGTCAAGCTAATGGAAATGTAAACATTTCAGAAAGATTTTTAATACCAAATAAGTTACAGATATTAATCATTAGTTTGGTTCTTTTTAATATTAAAGCTGCTTTTCTCAGCAGAAGGAAAAGCTCAGAAGCATTTACACTGAGGCCCATACAGTCTGTGGAGTAAAGAAGATTCTGGTCTTCACATAAAATAGACTGGATCAGAAGAAAAAGCTGAAATGACACTGGTTCCTGTAACATTCATCATCTGTGACCAGTCAAGCAACAGCAGAAGGAAATTAATATTTCTTGTCAGCAACTTTAAGAATAATGGGTCTTAAAATATTTGGTCTGCCATAGCTATGAAGAAGCTCCAGAACACCTGCCTACTTTATTGTTTACATAAATCCTGGAGGGCACAGGCAGGGACACGAACAGAGAGAAACCTTCAATGTTCGATTGCTTTCTTTATTTGCAATATGCCTCTATCTATTCAACTTGGTTTATTTTATGTGATAGTGTGCTTATTTATTTGTATTTCCATTCACACAAGGACACACGAATATACATGCACAGAAGAGTAACAGTAGGCGGTAACCTAGCGCATTTTCCTCCTAAGCAGTACCTGTTTGCTGAATCCCAGCCGGAGCACCTGGGTTTGCTGCTGGGAGTGGCTCACTTGAGGTGCTTCCCGAGAGGCCTGAACTTTCTGGCAGCTGGAACAGCGTGCTGGAGCAGGTGCTGGGTGAAGACTGTCGGCCTCTGAACTCTTAAGAAACAAAGAAACTTCTTATCCCCCGACAACAGTGGCATTTGCTTTTTCTGTGTGTATTTGATTCATTAATTTCACCTATGAATTACTTAGAGACTATGGGGCTCGGAAGGGAGGAACCGATGTCTTCAGACATGCCATCCTCATATTAGGTCAGTCAATTGCTTTTTACAGCTGCTTTAGTAATCACCCAGCTTTAAAGAGTCTTTCTTTCAACTGATCTCCCTTTGGTTGTACACAGACGCCAGTCCCTGTGATAGCTAAGTTTGGATGATGAAAACCAGAGCTCGAGGAAGACAGCTTCATTATCTTACCTGCTCCTTTCCAGCAGATTACAGATCCTTTGGTCAGAGCTCCCTGTGCATTCCTGACCAAATAATACTTTAAGTGTTTCTGTTTCTTGGGCTGAGTGGTCAGTTTAAGATTAATGTGATTTGAGAATTCTGTAAAGTAGCAGAAACCCTTCTTGCCACAGCCAACACAATTGCCAGAGAAGCCTGATAAAATAAACAATACACATAATCCAGTGAGATAGGTGGGTCACTATTAATAACATCCAAACACGACTCTTTCCTGAAGAAAAGCTGCGTTTATATTTTTTTCATTAACATTTCCCTCCCAAAAATATTACACAAAGTCCACTGTATTGCATTTTGGCAAAAAAGCAGAGCCCCACATTTACAGAACAATTAAAATAGGCCTTATTTTTCACTTTCTTATACCAGAAAAATATCACAATTCCTATTTATTACCTACCTGTGAAACATTAATCCAAGAAGTTTCTGACTGAAGAGTACTGAATCACATGCTTACCCCCAGTCCTATTCAACACCACAGAAAGTACCTGCTTCACTTGTTTCAGCTTTCATTGAAATTAAACTTGCAGTTAAGTCTCAGGAAATCAAGTATATTTTATCTATTGTATTTACTCAGATCTAAGAATATTTAAGTACAAAGTTCCTACTACAGATGATTTTTTGGAGAGGAAAAAATACTAAAGCCTTCCTGAGCTATTAATTTAAAGTAGCTGTCTCAAACTATGACTGGACTGTGTTAGCACTTCACAGCAGTTTAAACTATTTATGATTACGGAAACAAAGTGTCTGCAACTTTATAGACACGACAGAGACACGGTCCTTGCACCTAAAGAAGTTTATTGTACTAAGGCTTGATGGGGCATTTCCAGGGACACTGCCATTTCCTCTCATTCTGAGAAAGTTTGAGCCTCAGAGGGGCTCACGACAGTGATGTTTATCACCATAAATAAAGAGCATTCCTTGCACAGCTGACTATCTGCCTTTCATTCTCAAACAACATTTATGTCTGTTTGCCAACGTATTTCCTAGGAAATTTTCATCTTGCACCAGACAACCACAACTGTCTGAAAATACTTATTAATTACAAAGAAATCCTATAGTGAGCAATTAAATTATCTTCTCCATGGAAATTTTCTGTCTGTTCACTACACATGACCTGAAGCATGCAGTTTTCTTTTATCTTAATTTAAATCATAGCTAATGTACACTTTTATGTGTTATCAAAGGAATTGAAATGGAAAGGGTGTGTTCAGTGAACTGAAAGCAAAATAAAATAAAGGAAATGCATTTCACGAAGCAGATGGAGAATAACCTTGGAAATAAATAGTATAACCGGAGTAAAGGGTCAATAATACGGTAAAGCGAAGAGCCATTAATGAGAATGGTGATTTCAATCACATATTTCAGGCAAATTAAGTTTTCAAATTAATAGTCAATACTTTTTTCCTTCTGTAAAATACAAGCACTGAAATGCAATGCTTTGTAAACACCTGTTACTTCCTTTACAACCCAAGCACTTTCACAAGTTTTCAAATGGCTCACAAGAATTTATTAAAAACCTAAGTTAATGTGGAAATTGGTCTGATATCCACGGGAACAAGTGGCTAACAACTATTAAAAGCTGCCTATTATCTCTCTGATCCTGTTTGGTAGGATGCTAAAGGTCATTATGACTATAAAATCAGGACAAGTCATGACTCTGCAGAATCTTCTGTGTTATATCAGTCAGCACAAAAGCATCTGTCTAACATCACAGAGCCTTCAGTAGCTGCAATAAAAGCAACAACAAAAGGAAACAAAATTAGAACGGATGTGGCAAAAGCTGTAGAGTTTGCATGCATTTTATGCAGATTAAGAAATCATGAAAAATGCTCTGCCAGTAAATGAAAACTTCCCATACACTGAGCAGTACACTGAGCACGACCAGCAGCACTGCAATTTTTGTCTGGTTGCCACTTACAAGCCCCTGTGTGCTTCCAAATACCAAGCATGAAGGGATCATTTCCGAAAGTAAAATAGAAGTATCTGTACAGTTATAAAGTTTTGTCATTTTGCTGAGAGTGTCCAGCAGCTTGCCAAAGCCACAGGTAGAAATATTTGTCCAACAGAAAGTCAGAGAGTGGACATAAAATCTTCTCACGTGGACTTCAGACCAGTCACTATTGACAACTCAGCCTAAACTGGATTTAACCACAACATCTACCTGAAACAACCTTTTGCCCTAATCCCCTCTTTCTAACTCTGTGATGTCTACTGGAAAATTAGTTTACACCATATATAACACACAGGTGAGGCCCAGTAAAGATTAAACAGATCTAAATTGCCCACTTGTTTTAGAAGTTTAGTTTTTGTTTTTCCTTTTAAATCAAACTGTCATCTTTCCCCTTAAGCTTCCCCAGCTCCTTGCCAACACTATTTTTCATCCCATTCATTCTGACTGATACCTTCTTTGGTGATGGCCGTTGCTTCGTTAATACAGCTCAGTCCTGACATCCCAGACAGAGCACAGCACGATCTTATAATTCCAACGCAGTAAAATGCTGTTCAATCATTACTCCTTGCAGGGCTCTGTCACCCTTGCTCCCAATGCTTTACATAGCAGATTGAGAAATACGGAGAACCCAAACACTTCATCATCCTCCTTTCTCTGTATGCCCTGTTCATGTGCCATGGCCTGAGGCTGAAGTGACTGAGGGGACAGCTTGTTTCATAAACAAGCTGCATTAAATATTCTTCCATACATTATAGAGGACAAAGGTCAGGGGAGTAGGGGCAGCCATAAGGTGACTCAATATATCTATGTCATGGGATTGATTTCACAAGACAATTAGAAATCAATGCCTGGAGTTTAGGGGCTAAAAGGCTTTCACCTTTAGGTCACCAGTTCATATCCAACTCAGTTCAGCAGTGACTTAAGGCTGTTAGCCTCTGAAGGTTGTTTAATCAAAAGGTATTTGATTGTATCTGGAATTTTATCATATGCATTTGCTTGAATTTGCTCACATCACAATGATCAATTACTCATAATTTTAAAAGCTCTTCCACAGTAGGGACCTTGTGTTCAGAAAAAGGACCTTGGCCTAAAAGTGTATGAAATCTGACCTACCTTCTCACTGGGGAAACAGTTCCTTTCGCTCAGCAGTGAGCTTGTGCTAGGGATAAAGAGAGGACTTCAGGATGGAAGGCTATCCATTTAATCTTTCATAATCTAATCTTTCATAATCTAATCTTTCATAAATTGGCAGAAAAATTTCTTCCTGTTTCTCTTTTAAATGAATAACAGGCTTTTAATTAATGTTAATACTTTTACGGAAAGTTGGCAGCTTGGTTAAAACAAAGAATGATCAGATTTTCAGCTTTTCAGCAAAAGTATTTCTTCTTTTCAGTCCTACTCACAACAAAAAGCACATAGACACCGACAATGCTCCACATTTTTCCCTTTTACTTAGTACCACTTCATTTGAAGACTGAAGTCCTGAATTTAAAAAAAAAAATGAAATCAATATGGTCAAGCTGGAGAGCTCAATTGTACAGAAACTCACTACTATGAAAAAGCCCAATAGAACATCGTACATTTTAACAGAGGCAGCCACAGTATTTTATGCTACAATATTTTCATCTTACACACAGCTTACAACGCAAGCAAGCTAATCTTTTCCTCTGTCATTCTGACCTCAGGGACTCATTGAAAAAAAAGGATTTCTTACTCCCTGCTATGAAAGTGGGCAGCTGTTTGGTCTTTTGGGAAGGAAAATGATGGGTGAATAGCTGCTTTGTTTACCATGAGACACTCTCCTTAAGAGTCATAACTGGCAAAAAAACCCCCAAAAGATAAAAAAACCTTTGGGAGTGGTACATATTATCTGTTTTTATTAGGAAATAACAAATATTGCACTATCACAGAAGTGCTTCCTCCATCTAAGCATTCCTTTAGGTTGCAAAAACCCCAAGAAACAGCGTCCTAAAGGCAAAAAGGCAAAGTAGTCAAACCTGTGGTCTAACTTCACAGAAGCACATGAGGTACATGCTTAGACACAGAGAACTTCCTGCTTGCCAAAAATATAGTCTTTTCCAGAAAATGGGACCTTTTTTTTTAAATTGAATACTACATCAAGTGTAAAAAAAAAAACAACAACAAAGAAACAAAACAACCTCCAACAGAAACTGCTTTCAAATCACAAGCACATATGCCTTGATGGCAGGACAACTTACTGGCATAATCAATAAATCGGCACATGCCCCAGAGGCGTAGGAACAGCCCCTAATGGGAACAAGACTGTAAGTCAAAAGCTGGCCCAGAAACTACTGAGACATTTCCTGTTATACTCTGGAATTTTTGTATGCTCCACAGGCATCTTCACAAACATATGCAGGCAGACCAGGAGACAATTGAGTGCCTTTTCCTTTCAGATAAGTTATTTTGGAAAAAATTCTACAGTACTCAGTGACAGCTGCCTTACAAAACCACAGTATATTAAGAGAAAAAACATGAAATTCAGAAAAAACAATGAGGTGAAGGGTTACAAGTGATGTGCCTGTATCACCAATAAGCCTTACCAAAAGTGTGGGATATACTCTGACTCATGATGACAGCTCATTTCAATTAGAAATGAATCCAATTCAATTTTCCTCTAAACTTCGAAAGGCTTGAAGGGACCACTTTTCATGTTGTTTCAAAAGACCAACATGTTTGAAGAACAGCCTCAAATCAGTACCAAAAATAAGCCTGTCTTTAAAAGCAAGACAATAAAAAGAGCTTCCCTTCTTCATCTATGAATTTTTTTCAACTTAAGTCTAGCACGAAATGGAGGTCACTGTGTTATACTAATGGACAAAGAATTAAAAGCAAGAATGGTTCTTTTCAGACACTACGTGTCTGAAACTGTGATACTAGTCATGTCTGCTTCTAATGTTACCTAACCTGATTTGACTTGCATCAGTGTATGAAAACCAGGATCAAACAATCATTTCTAACCACAGTATGGTCTCTGTACAAATAGCATGCTCTTCTCATGACAAGAAGATATATTGTGGTTTTCCATTAGACTGGGGAAAGGGAACGGGAACGTTATTTTATTTCCAGCTTCCAGATGAAGACTTCAGATCTTAAAGTATGTAAGTTCTTTCATATTTAAGCTTGTTATAGAATACATAAAAATCATCCTACAGAATTACTAACATTTTTTTGCAAAAGAATGTGATTCATTGGCGTTTACGTGTATACCAACAGCCAAAAATAAGCATTTAAATGCTTTCAGGAAACTAAAATGTATTAAATAAGCAAGCCGAGGATGCAAGTAGCATAAAACCTCCCAGTTATGTTCCTGTTGCCTTTTTCTGTTCTTGTTCAGCATGCAATTAACAAATACATTACTTCCTCTCTGCTAACAGCCTAAGTAGCTTAAGCTGTTAATAGTGCTAGCACTGAATGACTTGAGTGGTACAACATTCCTGTCTTTATCTTTAAAATGACAACACGTGGGTGATTTACAACCCTCTTAATTCTTTTACAATCACTGGTCAAATGTACTGTGACCAATCCAACTCTGCAAGATCACATGAGGAAAGAAATTACTGTACATAGAATTACGTTATACACCTTCACACTACACTGTCATCCCAAATGCCCTGAAGAGTGAGCTAACAACTGAGCTCACATCATACCTCTCACTGCTTGTGAAAGAAAATGGTTAAAAGACACGACAAATGTTTCATTTTTGCTGTTCAAAGGTCAGTCTACACAGATATATGATGCACCATTTTTTCGTTAGCTAAATAAGAAAATAATACATAAAAACCTGAGAGTACCTGATAGAAAAAAAGGGTTCTTCCTCTGATTATATACCACTTCCCCAATATAAAAACTACTCCATTTTAATAATATAAATATTCAGTTCATTTATTCACATGATTGCAGTTCTTCCCTATTTGAGTTGATTTGGATAAGGCTAATTGCCATCAGAAAGGCTACAATAAAAATAGATAGAAGGGGCCCAGTTTTATGTCAGAATTAAGACTTTTAAGCAGATGAAAAGCAAGAAATTGAAGTGTTCTACAAACTGTATTATTCAAACACACAGTATTACCTAGGAAAAAATTCAGATTATAATCATGCATATTTATTTATATTGTGACAATAGCAAAAAGTGATAGGTTAAGATCCAGAAGCCATGCTGCTGTTCAAACACAGTGGAGAATATTATCCCTATCTCAAAGAGAGAAATTAAAAAAGGTCATAATTATTTGTAGTTCAAACTGTCATCAAACAGTTTACATGTATGTAGTAGCCTCAAAGTTCCACTTGAAAGACCTACAGTCTGTTCATGTCAATACTGGAAAGCTGAAACAGAGACAGGCAGCATTTCAGCTAGTCCAGTTACCAGATGTGCCGTTCCAGCAACTGGGACATAAACTGACTGGGTAATGCCTTTAGCCTTGGACTAATGGGTAGAAGGTGATGAAGTATTTCTGATGAACTGGCTCACTCTGTATCTTTCCAAAGCAAGCATAGCCAGCTCTGAGTTGTTATCTTGCTGTGCATCACCAGTGAACGTTACTGTAGACACGGAACAGAAATAAGATCTGCTGAACTCAGTCGGCAAAAAAAGATTAGCTATTAAATGTAGCCCTCAGAAGCATCCACTTACTGCAATCACAGACACTTACCCAATAGGGCATTGCGTCCATTGTCATCTGGCAGGAATCTTTTATCCACAGCACACACTAAAAGGTGATCAGGTAAATTTGGTGACTTTGCACCAACAAGTAAAAACCCTGATGGTACCTCAATATGTTCATTGGAAATTGAAACGAGTCTCAAGTCTTTACCAGCCTGGCAGAAACCTAGAAAAAATCAATTCAAGGAATTTTAAGCTGACAAGATTATTTTGTTTAATACTTATAATTATCTTTGTTAAAGGACTTTCTGTATTTTTAATTAAAAACAAAGTTGTATCATAGAACCAAGAGATAATTTTCTTCCTTGCCTTTCAGTCAGACATAAACAGATGCTACAAGTGTATTATATACAAACAAAAATATGAAAATATACAGTGAAGTTTGTCTTGATGTTTTGCAACCTTTTAAAGGTCACATTGCTTAAGAGAACAGAAATTCTGTCCTCATGTCAGGTGTTCCAACACAAATGCTTAACTGACACACTAGGCAAGGACCCTGTCATATATAAGAACAGCCAAGAACAATCCAGCTTTATCTGGCAGGCAATGAACACTGGCATTTTAAGATTTCTATATCTTATAGATTATCTCATTCTGATGAATTACAGGGGAAACGGCCCAAATACTACCTTTTCAGTAGGGCAAATGTCTTCTGACAGCATGTTTAGTGCATTTCTTACCATCAGTAGTGCAACATCCTTCTGGGGGAGGCTTCATCTGGTAAGAAGCAGGAGGACTACTTGATTCTGAGCCTTCTTCCTCCTCCTCTTCTTCTTCTTCTTCATTATCTGCTCTGCTGCCTGCTACAAATTTTCATAGCATAAATGACTTAGACAACAGAAAACACTGACAATAAACCAATGAATGAACAGGATGACCCAGTCGCAGAAAGCATTACAGCAAACTGGATTCTCTTCTCTTGACAATGACTCTACTGTTGCCAACTCTTAAGATATCTGTTGTTTCCAGTCATGCTCACAACGGAATGTCTTTCATCAAAAAAGTAAAGCTTTTTGCTCTTGTGCAAAAAAAGAGCTCATAAGCACGATCCAAGTGCACCTGAGAAAATAAAAAAACCCTCAAGGACAAGTAACTGAAGTCTCAACTTATTTTTTTAAAATCTCATTAATTTTAAGCTAACCTCACTATTGTTAGAGGCCTAACTGCTGCTGTTTGAACTCTTGCTGACTACAATAGTGTAACTGTATCCTTTGTTTACAATATTATCAGCCAATATAAAACCAAAGTAATTACTTCTTAGCACTTTAAAATGTCCTGGCTACAGTCTAAATACAGATTTTATTAATTAGGTATTGACTATGTCCTTGATGATGTACATCTGCCTTTCCTTGATGTACAGGAAACTGAAGAAACAGTTCCTGCTTGAAACTAGGCTCACCACAGATGATGCCATGGTAAGAACACTTAAGAAGAAGAACCATCTGTCTCCCACCAGCATCCAGAGCTCTGAGGAAAGCTCACTGCTGCTCCCTGTACAGTGTCAAGGAAAGGCAGATTTCTGGGGAGATGATGCATGTGTGTGGACTGCAGTAGTCTAGGAAGCAAAACCAAATGCTGGGGAGAAGAATACATGATGTAGGCTTCATTTGAGGGCTTTCAGTGTTTCTTCTTCAGATTCTCCACTGTAAACCACTTTTCTGGTGTGCCAGCTACCCAAATCAGTATTTTTACCAGTTCACCTGCATTTCAGCCTTTCAACTCAAGTTTGCTTCTTTACTTGGGAAAGTAAAACAGCAGTTAGGCTCCAACATTATTTTGTTGATCCAGTTTTTAGTCTGGAAACAGAAGAACAATGAAGCACATTGCAGTCATTCCCCAAAGCTCAGTGTCAACTGGACATACTCTCTTTGCTTTGACTGACTTTGGATAAGACATTCAGAATCCCACAGGATGTTCAACAAGGAATTTTTTTTCCTATGGCCCTCCTCAAAATAGCTTTTTATTTTATAAAGAAATAATGGTAGAATCAGCTAACCAAATACTACAGGATAAATGAGAATTAGGGAAGAAGCTGAAGAAAATAAAACTGGAGCTTGAATATTTGCTTCTAAAGGTTATTAAGACTATTATACAGCCCAATCTAGAAGAGGATTTGAAGGGTATGTTTACTTTTAAGTATCTAAACATCAAGCTCCAAGGCCTGGTGCACACAGATAAGGACAGAACATTATACAAAACTGCTTTAAGGATGTAGTCTAAAGACAAATGCTGAAATTTAACAAAGGGGAAAGTGAACAAAGGGAAAACTGAAGCTCTCCAACTTTGCTATTTAAGCCAGGGGTAAGTTACGTGTTATGACTTAACCTTGACCAACATCCAAATGCAATGAGAAGGGGATGAGTCTGGCTCTCCTCTCTTTCCCCACACTCCCAGCCATGAAGTTCCTTCTTTCCTCTTTGTGCCAGCTCTGACACTTTCTGGAGCCTGTGCTGAGCCATCCCAGCTTGCTAACCCTGCAGAAAACCAACCAAGCAAACAACAGGATGGGGGTTTTGTACTGAGTTTATTTATTGAATTAGCTCAGCGGAAGATCAAAACAATGCCAAAATCAATGAAAAGGCAGAGAATGGGAACATATGGCTAGGAGGACTGGGGGGGGAAGGATGTGGAATTTTCCCCTTTGGGCAATGGTAAACTGTTAGGTTTGTTCAGCCATAACAGCTAATTTCACATTGAAAAAAAAAAGATCAAGAGTCAAGAAATGGAAGTGAAGAGTAAGAAACAGAAGAGCTACAGCACTTTCAGGTCAAAAACGAAAAGAGAATAAGAGCAAATATGTACCTATAATGCACAAGAATGAGCTGCTGTCATCTGTAAAGGGCATCATTAGGTGTTTCTGCTGCTTGTTCTAAAAAAGACCTACAGTTTCTTCCATTTTACTTCTAAAGCAGATCTTCCTCTTTTAAAGCAGGGCTTCTTCAAAGAACTCTATATTTGCATGCATCTATTCCACATCTTCTTTTCTTAAACAATCCCAAAAGAACTCACAATCAAGCACCCAAAACCAGAGACAAGATGATGGCAAAAGTGGACTCACAACCATAGGTCTTCTGTTGTGTGTTACAGAACTACCCAGTCTTGGGTAGTGATGATATAGCTCCATTAAACCAACAGACATACTGTGATGATTTTGTTTTAAGGAATTCTTTTAATTTCTCACAAAGGATTTATAAGATCTTTATGATATACAGAGATTTCACATGGAAAAATTATTCAGTCCTCAAGGTATGCTACATACTCAATTGTCAGATTCTCTAGCCATTTTGATATTGTAACATCAACAGAGACATAACATTATCTATCAGTGGCTGGTTTTGTTGCCAAATGCTAAGTTGAACATCTATAACGTGTTATCAACCTACAGAATGGAAAGTCAAAACACCTGGGTTGTGCTGACTGACTGCATGTCCTTGTCTAGATTATACATATCTGCTTTATTTTGGCTGCTTCACCATAGGAAAACACTTGCTGTACTGAGGACCAACAGCCAGCTATGACCAAAGATAGTCCGAGTATATCAACACATCACATTGCCAGGGCCATTGAAAGATAACAGTCAGAAGGAAGGACAGGGACTTACACAAGACCCCAAGCATGACCGTCTCCTTCAGATACCTTCTGGCCCTCAGAGCACAGGGATTCATGTAGCTAGAAGGGGAAATTTCAACTTATGATAAGGCTGCAGTACAAGAAGAAGCTTGCAGACCTCTCACACCTGAGGAACAACTTGGGAAAAGCCCTGTTTTTATAAAAGGAATGTTCTCTACCAGGCTATTGTGAGACTTTTAGTTAATTACAGTTCAATTCTGTTTCAATTAACTGCAAAGAAAACAGACTCAGGTCTTCATGGCTGGGGAAGTTCTTTGAAAGCCTTGAAAGAAAGAAGATACAGAAGTGTGAAATAGCACTTTTGTTCCTGAACAATGCATCTGCTCCTGTAGCATCTTTCCCAACTGATGTCATAATCCACTTTGTGACATCACAGTTGGTTGCGATGGAAAAGTTTATGAAATCCTCATAGAAGGGTTTGAAAGAAGGAT